CTTCTCCCAGGGCCTTTATTCCCACCCACTGGAGCATGCTGAGCTAATGCAGAAAGAGAGATGCCCACGCCCCTGGGTCCTGACGTAGTCTGCGGGCTCAGGTGAGGGGACAACACTGTATTATCCTCCCTATAATAATAATAGTAATAGTATAACTAGCACTGAGAGCACTAAGTATGGGTCATACCCTGTGGTAAGCACTTCATATGTGCTGTGTATCTTATCATCTTCACAACAACTTTATGAGAGAGGTGCTATTATCATCCACGTTTCACACAGGAGGAAATTGGCTCAGAGAATATAGATAACTTCCTGATGCTCACAGGTAGGAAGTGGCAGAGCTGGGACTTGAATGCAGGGCTGTCTAAAACCAAAGCCTAGTGTTCTTAAGACAGAATGAAATCCAGCTAGGGTCACATGGGAACTGAACACAGGATCCTGAGTCTTCATCTAAGGCTCTCCTCATCCATTCAAAGCCAACACCGCTGAGTTGGAATGCTTTGGAGATGGAGGTGTCATTGAGGATGACTAAGTGTCACATGGAGGGGAATATGGGAGACATCTGGCATCCCTAGGCCCAGCCCTCCACAGCTGTCAACCAGGATTTATAACTACTGGCATGTTCTTATTACAAATAAGATAGCATAATCTTTGAAAGCCATATAATAATGTATGTATATTACAAATAAGACATTAACTCATAATTGATAAGCATAAATTACAAAAGCCTTTGTAGACTCTGAAGCACCATATAAACGTTTGGTCTCTTCCTTTTATGGTTATTGCTGCTGTTATCGTTCAGTTGGTGATGTGTTCAGGGAGCTTACCCCAGCCCAGATCTCAGTGTTAGTGCCTGCAATATCAAATGGCAGCTGAGAACATAGCCTGACTTGAATTTTCTGTCCCCACTGGGTCCCAGCACCTGGAAGTATTTGAGCTTTGCATATGGATATATTGCAGTAAAAGCCCACTGTGCAGATGAGCTAATTATCCAGGCGTTTTCAGCATTTGCCAGCTTGCCCTGTGCTGAAATCAGTCTTCATGTTCAGCCTTGGTGGCCAGCAGCACTCCTGGCTCTTTAAAGCATTGTTAGAGAGACTCTTAGAAACCATCAGACATGATGGAAGGGGTGCAGGCCCACTAGCAAGTCTCAGGACAGGTGAGAGGCCGGGAAGCCAGTCACGAGCATCTGGGAGAGAAAGCCCACAGACTGTGCTATGGGTTTCCTGGGCATTTCTCGTGACCTTGCTAAATGGGATTATCTTGAAGAGCACCCGAATCTTGTCACTCACTAAGCCCAGTTTAAATCCTACCCTCTCTGCAGATGCCTTTCCTGACAGTGCAGCTCCTGTCTGCTCCCCATCTAAAGTTCTGTGGTACGGAATGCCTGTGCCATCCACTTGGACACTAAAATGCCCTGCCTTGAACAAAGGGTCTTCCAAAAGTTCATGGAAAATGCATATTGTGAAAAAACTATACAAGAATTTCAAAATTGTTTTAGCACTAAAATAAACTCATACTAACTTGGTATAACATTTGAACAGGATCTCATTTGAGTCACCAAGAAGGATAAGACATCAGTTTAAAAGAACAAATCAACACGAATTCTGCTAAAATTGAAGCAAAAATAAACATCAAATTTATAGAGAAGCCCGGGGAGAAGAATTGTGAAATTATTGATGCTTGACAAGAAGTTCGTGGGGACAATGCCCCCCAAAAATCAGCATTTAGAAACGGACAGCTCATTTTAAGAAGGGGTGAGATGATGTTGAAGATGAAGCCCAAGGCAGCAGACCATTCCCATCAATTTGCAAGGAAAAGATTCATCTTGCTTGTGCCCTGACTAAAAAGGACCAAAGTTTAGTAGAACTAACAATAGCCAACACCATAGACATCTCAACTGGTTTAGCTTGCATAATTTTGACCAAAAAATTAAAATTGAGCAAGCTTTCCACTCAATGGGTGACAAAACCCTTGCGCCCAGATCAGCTGCAGACAAGGACAGAGCTTTCAACAGAACTTTTAAACAAGTGGGATCAAGACCCTGAAGCACTTCTTTGAAGAATTGTAGCAGGAGATGAAACAGGGCTTTTCCAGTATGATCCTGAAAACAACGCACAATCAAAGCAATGGCTACCGAAAGGTGGAAGTGGTCCCGTCAAAGCAAAAGTGGACTGGTCAAGAGCAGAGGTCATGACAGTGGGCTTTTGGGATGCTCAAGGCATTTTGCTTGTTGACTTTCTGAAAAGCCAAAGAAGGATGACATCTATTTATGACGAAAGCATTTATTATGAGAAAGGCAAAGCGTTAGGAGAAAAACACCTTAAAAAAGAAACAAACCTGGGAGAGCTTCACCAGAGAGTCCTCCACCAGGACAATGCTCCTGCTCGTTCTTCTCTTTAAACAAGGGCAATTTCAAGAGAGTTTTGGCGGGAAATCATTAGGCATCCAGTTTACAATCCCGATTTGGCTCCTTCTGACTTCTTTTTATTTCATAATCTTAAATCTTTAAAGGGCACTCATTTTCTTCGATTAATAATGCAAAAAAGACTGCATTGACATGACTAAGTTCCCAGGACCCTTCTTTCTTTAGGGATGGACTATATGCTGGTGTCATTGCTTAAAAAAGTGTATTGAATATGATGGAACTTATGTTAGGAAGTCAATCTTATATTTGTAATTTTCATCTTTTAATTCCATTTTTATGAAGTTTTTGAAGTTCCCCTTTATTGTTAGCTACATATTTTTGTCTGGTTTAACCTTTACTTTCACATTCCTGACCTTCTGTGACCTCTCCCAGTGACAGTCATATGTGGACTTGGGACATCTCTGGTGACCTATCTGGTTGGTTAACCATACCTTGTTCCAGACTGGGTTTAAGGGAGCTGTTTCATTATTATATTTACATGTGATGTTCTTAATTAACTTTTCACGTGGCTTTGCAAGCTGTCTAGACATCCAAAACATAGGCACTTTGAAACTCAGACTGGTCTCAGCGTCCGTCTTAGAATATCTGTCTTACTTACCTTGGTTGTACTCAGTGACAAAGTATCGCTGGGATACTGAGTGAAGAGCTGGAGCCACGGTCCAAATCAGCTCCCTCTCATGCTACTCACTCACGTCATGCCCTTTACTTTCTTTTACTGCAGTTACCATGATTTATATCATATATTCACTCATTCATTAAAGCCTTTCCCTCAACCCACTGGGAGACCTATTTGCTTCTTCATCATATCCCAACGCATCCTAGAACTTGGTAGGGGATCTGTAAACACTAGATAGATAAACGCTTGAATTAATTAGCATGCTCTCCCTAGGAGATCGTGAGGATTGGGAGAAGAGAGTTCAGAACTGGGGCTCAGCGGCTTTCTGAATGCCTCAGCTGTAAAGAGAAGTAAGGTCTGCTGCAGATGGGCGGAGGAATAATGGAAAACATGATGCCTAGAAGTCAGGCATTTGCCTGCATTTTCTACGTAACTTCAAGAAAGTCTCATAAGGGTTGAAGGAGATGTTTTTGTGAAATTGCTTTGTAAACCATAAAGTGACATGGTAAGATGTTGTTTGTCACCCTAAGATCTGGCCCCTGCCTATTTCTCCAAATGCATTTCTTATTAATTTAATTTACCTAGGCCAGTCTTCTCATTAAAAAAATTGTTCTCCCTTTATTGCAAAGTAATGCATTGTAATAACAAAAATATCAGAAAATTCAGAAGAAAATAAAAATCATCTCTTAAGGTTACCATCTAGAAATAACTCTTCACACCTTATTTACAGTCTAAACATTTTTTTTTCTAAATGAGTTTCCCAGGTGTCAGCAGTGGGGGCAAGGCAGGGCAGCTTTCCACTCCTGTTTTCCCACTGCACTGGCTTTGCTGAGGGCAGCTGCCTGGGAAACCACCCAGGAGTGACGTCTCCCCATTTGTTTGCTTCCAGCATCTTGGTAGCCGTGCTAGTGGAGCAGGGGACAGGGCTGCCAACAGGTGGCTTAGAGAGGGGGCCATCTTGCTCCAGCACTTTTCATTATCTAAAAGTGCCTATTTGGTCTGTGTATTTATTGTTTGTCTCTCCCCACTGGAATAAAACCTTGCTGGATTTGCCCGTTGCTGCCTTTGGCACCTAAAAAAGTACCTGCACAGAGTAAATATTCATTGAACAAATGAATGAACACTGAAGCGCTGTGTTACCTCACATAGACTAGGAAACACCTGATGAATATTTGCCTCCCATGAATTGTGCATATGAGAGACACAGAGGCCATATTCCTTGGTGATATACGCCTGGACTTCCAGGTCCAGCTGTGGTTTGAGCTTCGGCATGATACAATAGATAATCCCAAACCCCTTTTTTGCAATCACTACTTCTCTCTCCCGTCATTTCAAGCACACTCTCAGACCATGCCACTGGGCATGCGGCAAGAGCGTTCTGCAAAGTTGCTCTCCAGGTTCAGTTGCAGCACTCCCAAACTGTCCTGTGCAAGGAAGCCCATCCTCTCCCTGTCTCAAAGCCTGTCTCTCCTCCAGCGCCTTTCAGCTTTTCCTCCTTATGCAGCCCCTAGGCGTCGTTCTTAGCCAGGGCAGTGATTCTTAACACAATGCTTACATCGCTGTCTTCAAAGGTGAACTCCTGTGGTATAGACAGCATCTGTGGATTGGATGGAGACAATTTCAAGAGCACTTGCTGAAACCTGGAGCTCTGTGGTGGGCAGTTTCCAATTAATTCTGAGGCTACCCCCTTCTCATGCACAAGGGCCTGCTCCCATCAGGCTGGGCACAGTCTCTGGATTTGGGGTCCCTAAGCAGACTTATCACTGCTATTCCTTCATCTTCCCTTCTCCTCTCCAAAACCTGGAAGAGGATGTATTAGGCCTGTTTTCTTCCAGAACACTGCAATGCGGCAGGAGGGATGTTTCCCCCCAGATTTTCCAAAATTGCTATAAAGCCCCTTCTGTTGAAGCCCTCAGTGGAAAACAAGGTGTGATCCATCTCTTGTGTGTTTCCTAGGTGGAATTCAAATCACCAGTGCCCAAAGTACCCTTCAGGTGTGAAGAGTTGCAGGCCCTTCGAGGAGCTGGGAGCTGCAAGGTGAGTGAGCAAACAAAAGGCAACGGGCCGCACAGCACTTGATCCACCCCCACCCAGACCCCACCTTCAGGCCCTGCCTTGTCAGCACTATTGTGGCTGCTTTTAATATTCATGAGGATCAGCAGTGGGCCCTTAGGTTTGAGACACAGAGTTTCATCAGCTTTCTAGAGGACAGTTTAAAAAATACTAGATGACAGAGGGTCTGTTCCACCTTGTTGGGGCATCGCTTAAGTTCATTTAAGGGAGGCCTCTGGAAGAGAGGGTTTGTCACTTTACACGTGGGCCCTTTTACATGTGGGCACAAGGGTCTGGAGTCTTTGCTAGCCTCTCTCTGCAAAGAGCCGCTCTTCAGCCACTGGTCACTCACAGAGCCAGTCCACTGTGGAGCCTGTCCAGTCCTGATTTCCCTGCTGTCTAACTGCTCCTGGCAATGAGGAGGGTGTGTTTGCATTAGTGTATAGCTTCACCGTTCGCTTTCACATCCGCTGTCTCATTTGAGCCACTTCCCATGGGACAGTGATATATTAATAGTTTGGATATTTGTCACAGCCCAAATCTCATGTTGAATTGTAATCCCCAGTTTTGGAGGTGGGTCTGGTGGAAGGTGATTAGATTGCAGGGGTGAATCCTCATGAATGGCTTAGCATCCTCCCCCGTGGCTGGGTGCTGTCCAAAGTGAGTGAGTTCTCACGATATCTGGTCATTTAAAAGTGTATGGCACTTTGCCCCCAACTGTCTCTCTCTCTTGCCCCTGCTTTGCCATGTGACATGCAAGCTCCTGCTTCACCTTCTGTCATGAGTAAGAGCTTTCCTGGGCCTTCCCAGTAGCCAAGCAGATGTTGGCACCGTGCTTGTATAGCCTGCAGAACCATATACTAATTAAACTTCTTTTCCTCGTAAATTATCCAGTCTCAGGTCTTTCTTTATAGCAATGCAAGAATGGTCTAATACAGACAGGCACAGGCAGGGAGGAAAGTGTTATCCCCGCTTAAAAAAAAAACAGAAAAAGGCCAACTTCCCAAGGTGACAGGGTGCTGAAGTTAACACTTGAAATTTATTTTTGATGCCTGCTCAGAACCTTTCTAGGGTACTATGTTCTGCTACCCTCTTGACAGATGGGGTTGAGACAGGACAAGAACAGAGAAGGGAGAGGGAATGAAGACTAGAGGTTTGGTGGGGAAGTTGTTGGGAACTGTCGACTAAGATACCAAATGGGGTTATCTCTGCAGGCTAGATTCATTGTTGTCTTTGTTTTCCTCTCATTTTCTACCAGTTACAAAAATCCATGATAATAATATGCTATCCAAACCCATAGTAATTCATACAAGACTATGGCTTGGAGAAAATGTCAAAATTTAGCCCTTTGGGTAGAAGCTTCCTTTTCTAGGTAAAGGGGGAAGCAGTGTGGATTCTTTAGGGTGTTCTGATAGCCATTGTCACTATGCACTTCTTTGAGTCTTTACATCTCCTCCTGCTGCATTTTAAAGCATTTTCATAGTAAGTAGTTTGGCCTAATAAAACATTTTTATAGCAAAAAAAAAAAACCCAACCAAACAAACAAAATAAAACATATCTGCAGCCCTAAATTTGTCCAGGTACACCTCACTGGCCTTTTATCCCACCTCAGGATAGCATCTTGTATGTTAAATTTTAACTAATACTGAGTTTGGTACCAAGAGTGGGGTGACACTGTAATAAATATCTAAAAGTGTGGATGTGGCTGTGGAACAGGTAATAGGTAGAGGCTGAACGAATTTTGAGGTACATGCTAGAAAAAGCCTACATTGCCATGAACTGACTTTTAAAGGTGGTCTGGTGAGGGCTCAGAAGGAGAAAAGTAGAGCTGTAGAGAAAGGAAGAAGACCTAAGTCATCCTGAACAGAACATTGGTAGAAATATGGATGAAAAAAGCCATTCTGATAAGGTCTCAGATGAAAATGAGGAACATGTTATTAGACACTAGAGGAAAGGTCAGTCTTGTTATAAAGTGGTGAATAACTTGGCTAAGTTGTGCTCACATTAGTGTTTTGTAGAAGGTAGAACCTGCGAGTGATGGAATTAGATATTTGGCTGAGGAAATATCTAAGCAAAGTTTGAAGGAGTGGTCTGGTTTCTCCCAAATGCTTATACTAAAATGTGAGAGGGGGACTATGACTTAAGATGGAATAATGAGTCAAAAGTGGAGAACTTAAAGATTTGGAACATTCTCAGCCTATCCCTTTAGAGATGAGGACATCTGTCGTGCCCCTGACCCATCCTTGTATTTCGGAAGCACATAACTTGATTTCACAGGTTCACAGCTGGCAAGGAATCTATCTTCAAATGAATAATACCTTGAGTCTCAACCATATCCAATTTACATGAGATTTACATGAGATTTTGGACTTTCTATCTTTGAGTTTATGCTAGAACAAGTTGAGACTTTTGAGACTGTTGGAATGGAATGAATGGATCTTGCATGTGAGAAGGACATGAATTGGGGAAATCAGGGTTGGAACACTATAGACTGAATGATTTTGTCACCTCAAAACTCATTATGTTGAAACTTAACCTCCCAGGTGGATGGTAGTAGGAAATGGGGCCTAATGGGATTAGTGCCCTGATAAAAGAGGCCATAGTAAACTTCCCATCTTTCTTACCGTTTGAGAACACTGTGAGAAGTTGCAGTCTGCAACTCAGAAGAGGGCCCTCACCAGAACCCAACCATGCTGGCGCCTGATCTCAGACTTCCAGTCTCTGGAACTGTAAGAGATAAATTTCTATTGTTCAGAGGCCATCCAGTCTATGATATTTCGTTATATCAACTGGAATGGACTGAGATATTAAGTATTGGTAAGACTTAGCACAAAGGGAAAGGGCATGCCAGATGGCTGAAATATATATTTGAAGATGCCAAGAGAACAGGAAATAATTTGGAAGGAAGTGAATGTGGCAGGAGAAGCAGGAGATGATTCTAAAGAAGAAGCAGTGGTCCTGTGTGTTTAAGACTGATCCTGAAAACAATGGGGAGGCATGAGCGGGTCTGCAGTTTAGACACATCTTCCTGGCAGTGTTGTTAGGGCTTTGCTTAACTGTTTTCTGGAAAGCAGTTTTGTAATACACATTAGGAGCCTTTAAAATAAATACCTCTGATTCAACCATATTGTTTAATCCTTACAACAATACTGCAAAGTAAGAATTATTAGCCTCATTTACAGACAAAGAAACTGAGGTTTTATTTATTGTTTAATTTTTTTTTTTTTTTGAGACATAGTCTCATTCTGTCACCCAGACTGGAGTGCAGTGGCACAATCTTAGCTCACTGCAACCTCCACCTCCTGGGTTCAGGTGATTCTCCTGCCTCAACCTCCTGAGTAACTGGAATTACAGGTGTGTGCCACTGTGCCCGGCTAATTTTGTATTTTTAGTAGAGATGGGGTTTTACCACATTGGTAAAACTCTTGACCTCAAGTGATCCTCCTACCTTAGCCTCCCAAAATGCTGGGATTACAGGTGTGCACCACTGTGCCTGGCCAGAAACTGAGGTTTTAAAGGGTCGGGCAGAGTTAAGATTGAATTCATGCTCTGTCATTAATTAGCTGTTTTCCCGCAACAAATTACTTAACTTTTCTGAAACAGCTTCCTGTGGTGCTACTATAAAAAAAAATGCAAAACAGATTTAAATAAAAGCTCCTTTTTATTGGATTATCCACTCATTTGAATTATCTCTACCATAGCTGACTTTCATTTTCTTAAACATTTGAGAGAAGCTTCTGCCTCAAAAATTAAGTAAAAGGAGTCAGAATTCTATGGTGTAGAGAATTACTGGAGAGTAGTTTTATTTTGGGGGACCACTCTGAGGGTTGTTTGCGCCTACAGTTTTTATTGTGCACACACACATGGCTCTTCTAACATCCTCTGCCTTTGCTGCTTGTATGTTGTTCCCTGCTAGACTGTCAGTCCATTGTGAAAGACGGCAGTTGTAAATACATCTCTGTATCTCCCACAGCAGCTGTCTGGTTCAGTGCCTTCCACATAGCTGGAGAAATTGCAACCATTTTTCCAGAAAGAGTTGGAGCATCGTATTCCAAGAAAAAGAGAGGCTTTGAGAATAGAGAGCTAAGAGTTAAGGGCATAGGAGCAGACACAGAAAGCACAGATATTTAGGTCTGGAGATGTGAAAGGGAAGGTTTGGAACTAAGGGGATCTGGGAGAATGTATCACATGGAAAATATAAAAAATGTTTTCATTCGTGTTGGGTCAAGAGAATTGTCTTGGATTGGGCCCCCAGAAGCCAATCCTGAGAGGAAGATTCATATTCAGGTGATTTATTAAGAAAATGCTTCCGAGAGAGCCTGGTAAGGGATGGGGGAGCAGGATGGGAGACAGGAGGAAGCCATACAGCTTGAGATCTTAGCAAAGTTCCAGCCTCTGCCCCACAAAAGTGTTCTAAAGTGTAAATCACAACTCAGAGTTTGTCCCAACTGGAGGCAGGAGTACTGGGCTTTCATAATTCCATACCCGTCAGTCATTGGCTAAAGACTCTTTAGAGAGGTGGGGGAAGCTTCCAGGCACTTCTGGCTCTGTCCATGTGGACAAAGTGGGTCTAGTTGAAGGGTCCCAACCTCCTAAGAGTTACAGGTTCAGAGAGTTAGAAGCAAAGGCACATAGATGCTGAGGGAGGGTCCACAAAAAATATTCAAGGGCATCTGGGTGGAGCATAGATAACATTGCCTTGATAACAGATCTGCAGCCCTAACTTTGTCCAGGTATGCCACACTGATCTCTTCTAAAATTCATGATCATATGCAACTTCCTTATCTATAAAGTGGGGATCGTGTTACTTTACTTGCTTGTATTACAGGATAATTGCAAAAACAAAACAAAAGGAGATCCGGTATATATAGAATTGTAAAGACAACTATAAGAAAAGATGCTATGCAAAGCCAGGTGTTATGTTATGCCTTTCTCTTCCAGGCCGAGGGGATACGTGAGCAATTGGTCCTCTGCAGGCACTTGCC